TTTTTTTCATGTTGGTAAAAATATATGTTTATATTTCAATTTAAAGTCAAACTTGATGTGATGATTTAAGAGTTGTTCGTGCGTGTCTAGGTAGTTTTAGCTCAAATGACTTTTGAATGATATGGTGTCACCTTGAAGTATCATTTTTGTATGCCTGCTTACGGATAATAAATGCTATGCGGTAATAAATACATATTTATATATGTGAAGTGATGGATACGTAACCAATAAAGCATTCCTTTGCTTTTATGTTGCCCATTTATATAGGGCGCTCGAGATATATGTCTATCGTTTCAATAAAAACAACTCCTGTGAGAAACTTTGACTTTTATAGTAAAATTAATAAATTTGCATATACGTATTAATTACCGCATCTGATCTGTCATGATCGTGCACGAGTCTTATTTTCAAATCTTATAAGTTTCTATGATTATAGAGCTTGTATGATCTGATAAGATTCTGCAAGAATCAGCCAGTTGGGTGTTATATGTTTCGTAGCCTTTAAATTTTGTAAGATTTTTGCTGACATCTTACAGTCAGAATCTGACAAAATCTTGAGAAAAATGAACATACACGAAATTGTCGGATCTTATGTCAAGAACATACAAAGAACCTTGTAAGCGTAAAATCTTATCAGATCTTATAGGATCTGATTTCTGCTTTTTCGACCTGGGATGTTTTTCTAATAACATCATATACTGATGTTCATCCAAACTTAAAGTTAAAATATAAGAAGCGATCCTTTTATTCTTCTCTTCTTCATTCTTTATGAGAAGAAGAAACGGAGAGTGCATATGATTCATACAAAAACAATAACACTCAGTTACTATCTTATTCGAAAATATGCAAATAATTTTGAAAAAGTAAAATTACAATGGGCAAAGCTTCAGATGAAATAGATAGTTGTTCATTTTCCTCTCCTCGGTTACACGAGCGGTGTATATGTGACTGTGCGAAAAGGTTGAATATAATACCCACACCCACACCTCAAGACTTTTGTTGTTATCTTTTGCAAGAAGAGAAGAAACTCTATGAAGATATATAATATCATCGTCAATAAAAGAAAAAGAAATATTTCTTACCGACTTGAATTTATAACCTTGTTTATCATTCTTTCAAAAACCAAGATAAAAGAATTTATTTAGCTTCATATATAAAAGGTGAATTATGTATGATGTGCATAATTTTATTCATTTCGAAGACACAGACTATTACGAGTATATACGTCAAAAAGATAGAATAGCAAGTGATACATAAATAATCAAAGTTAGTAAGTATCACTCAACCTATCTTTTTTTACAGCGTTTTTTTCTGTTCGAGATCAATGTGTGTGAAGTAGGGTTTAAATAGATATCCTTGTACGAACTGTTGCCCATTTTAACCACAAAAGTTCTCATGAGCTTAAAGTTTAATTATATTCTCAGACTAGTGTTATAGCTTTTCAATGGTTGTAGATGTCACGGAGATGTTCATTTTTGCAGCTTGTTTTATTTCTTTTGGAGTTTGCAAACGAGAAAATATCAAGTCCGCGAGTTTAGATATTAGTGCAGATGAGAGTATAGATGATGATGATGTGGTTTGTCAGTTAAAGTGTATGAAGTGCGGGTTTCATGAGAATGAAATTATTGAGAGATGACTATAATATCTATATTAACATTCGCCCACTGGCATCTACACCAAGCTGTATATTATCATCTTCATTTTCATGGTCATCCTGAGACTCACCCTTATTCTCATACACCCACATATCGCATTTAAATATGATTAAATTGAAAGAATATGAAAATTGTACTAAAGTAACTCTTATTGTCAACTTTTTCAAATTTAATAATCAAAATACAAATCAAATAAAGTTTTCCTTTTTCTTTTTTCTTATTTAGTTCATTATTCAACAGAAAAAAATAATTTGAATAATTAATTAATTATAATGAGTAGTTCAGGAGATCGTTTTACAGATATCGAACTAGAAAATAAACGTTTACCAGCATGTTATGGTTATATTAATTATAAATTATTACCTCTTGAAGAGGTGATGAATGAAATACAAGATTCTTTAGAAGAGATAAATCGTTTTGTTAAATTAGCTAAAAGACATTGTACATATCCAAATGATCATAATTTAACAAAAGATGAATCTGCTGCAATTTATATTTATACTATGGAAATGTCTGATCATTCATGTCTTTATCGAATTTTAAATCAAACACTTCGTCTAGAAGATCGATCAGAAGTTCGTCCATGGTTTGGATATTTGAAACTGTTAGATTCTGCAGCATTAAAATTACCCAAATTTAAAGGAATTATTTATCGTGGAATTGATAAAGATGTTACTATGAAATTTAAAAAAGGTCAAAGAATTACTTGGTGGAGTATAAGTTCATGTTCAACATCTATTAATGTTATTTCTAAATTTATTAGCAAATCTTCTTCAAGTACGTTATTTAATATTGAATGTTTAAATGGAAAATCTGTTTCATCATATACATGCTATCCAAAAGAAGATGAAGTTATTTTAATGCCTGGAACAATGTTTGAAGTTGTATCTAATCCACTAAATCATAAAGGTGGATTAAACATTATTCATTTAAAAGAAATTAATGATGATGATGATGATGATCATGAAGAATTATCTGGGTCAGCAAATCCAAGTAAGTAGTTCAACTGTTACGTATATCTATTAAATAACAAATCAATAAAATGGATTTCAATAAATAAATGAATAGAAAATATTATTTTATTTCGAATATTTTTCTAAACTAATCGAATAAGAAATTGAAATGATTTAGGATTAGATTCATTTTTGATTATAAATTCATATTTATTTATTCTTATTTCAAATTGAAAAACATTTGTTTTATTTGACTAATCGAAATATATTGCTAGACGAAAATATTTATAGAAAAATTTAAGAAAACAATTTATTCTTCAATTATAAATAATTTAGTAAATAAATCGTCGTAAAATTTATGATATTAATCTCAAAATAATTAGATGAATAAGAAATGTTTGATATTTTATTATTGACTTTGATCGACTGAAAATTTTGATTAGAAAATAGAATGACTAAAGATTATACTTATACAATTTTATTTTTAATATAAATGATAAAATAAAATTGTTTTAAAGATTGATGAAAATAAAATCTAATTCAATAGAATAATTTATAAATAATTTACTTTTTTTTTCAATAAGATATCAAAAATTTGATTTAACTAATATATAAATTAATTGTGACTATTATCTGTTTATATCTTTCTTTTTTATAACAGAATATTTTAACATTTTACTTATATTTGAAGATCAAAAAATCTCATTTGTTGTTCCTTACTCAGTGGTGAACGGAGATAAAAATATATTAGAGCTGTCAACACCAGTAGCTTTTCGAACTAGCCTTCAAGGAATAAGTGAACTGTTAGTAGTCTTATACGCAAGAAAGTCAACAGTTTATGATCGCCACACTCTGCACTACAAACAGGGGAACATTTAGATATCCGTAAAAATGCATTACCCAAAAACTTGATTTCTATCACTCCACGTCGCTTCTCCCAATTCACTGCCCACCCTCTCCATCAGTAGTCTGCGCAAATGCAGCGCACATTTGAAGTCCCCGCATCGAAATACCTCAACAAATGTCTTTTCCGGAAAACTGATTTCCGATGTTTTCTTTTTGACCCTGCGGACACACAAGCAAGCAACCAAACAAAACAAACAGTTTATTTCTGCTAGACTCTTCTCTACGAGAAAGAGAATATCATTTCGTATTTTATAGATAGAAAAATATGAACGAATTCTCTTGGTTTGTTTTGTTATTGGAAAACTTTAAAATGAGAAAATTTCAACTTTACTTTGTTCCTATTTTAAATTATCTCAAAAAATTAAATAATAATTCTAATAGTTGAAATAATTTTTTATTTATTTTTTCAAAACAAAAATATTTTATTAATGTTTTTATATAAATGAAATTAAAATAAATTATTCATTTTTGTATTATTGTCAAATAAAATGATTATATTTTTTTTTATTAAGATTCTTTTCGATCAAATCATTCTACAACTAGTACACCGGCTGTATCATGGAATCCGATAACAAAACTATATAAAATGTTATTTCAATCTCGGTCTCGAATAAAACAAAGTAGGTTTTATTAAATAATAATAATAGTAATTTTGTCTAAAAGATAGTTTCATCGACTTTCAAATCGAGACACAACTTTCTGATAAAAAATTTTTACTTATTCGTTAACAATCTCTCTTGAAACAATATTTATAAAATTATTCATAATTTGGTTCTTTTCTATTTTTATATCATTTAATATAAGACTGAAAAGAGATCTCATCTATCGTTTTTGAACTATTTTTCTCATTGAGTTATTGAGAGTATTATTACATAAATAGTTATTCGTTTTAAAACTAAAATGAAAATTTCAAATCATTTTCTTAATTATTTATTCAATATTTTAACTTTTTTTTTTATTTAATTAGAAATTATTTAGTTTTGCTTTGTCTTTTTTTTATCAAATAAAATATTCGAAATTTTATGGGGATTTATAACATTAATTGATCATATGACTATTTCTACTATGAAGATTTGAAATTAGTTTCAGATTTTTATATTATTAAATATAAAATCATCTACAATTCTTTTCTTAAACGTAAAAAGAAATAAATCAAAATAAAATAAAAGATTTTTTTCTATTGAAAATAATTAAATAATCAATTAAAGGAAACATTTTCTAATTAGGAGGGTGTTTTTCATTTGAATAATCTCTTTTAATATTTTAATGAAAAGATTTTGTTGTTTTTAAATTGTTCAATAAACTTAACTTGAGTTTAACTCTTTAGTTTAGAACTCTCTAAGGACTAATTTATTAATAAAAAAGAGACTTTCAATCGATCTTATCTAAATCATTGAAATAAAAATGATTTTTATTTAAAAATATTTTCCTGAATTGAAGTTTTATGTAAATCAAATAAAGAATTTTTGAATTAAAAAATCTGAAGAAATTATTTAGAATTAATTTTGTTCATTAAAAATTAAATTTAACGAAACAAAAATTTTATTTAATTATAATAAGGTCAAATACAAGTTTCTCCTCTTATTTTCGTCCCTTTTTGGTTTAAAAATAATGAAAGAGATTTTGAATAAAAAGAATATCTTCTATTTTAGGAAAAATTCTAACAGAAAACAATAAATATCAACAATTTGCAGTTACTGTTGCTGGAGGAAATGAAAAAGGACATCAATTAAATCAACTCTCTGATCCTTTAGGGATCTCTATTAATAATGATAAATCAGTTTATATTGCTGATTCTGATAATCATCGTATTGTTAGATGGGAATTGAATTCAAATACAGGTCAAATTATTGCCGGTGGAAATGGAAGTAGAAATCAAAATAATCAGTTGCATGGGCCAACAGATATCATTTTTGATAAAAAAAGTAATTCTTTTATTATTTCGGAATGGGAAAACAAACGTGTCATTCGATATTTTATTCAAAATCAAACAAATCAACAAATTCTTATTTCAAATATTACTTGTTATGGTCTAACAATCGATAAAAATGGATTTCTTTATGTTTCTGATTGGGAGAATCATGAAGTAAGACGATGGAAACAAGGGGATAGAATAGGTGAATTAGTTGCAGGTGGAAATGGTCAAGGAAACAATCTTAATCAACTAAATAAACCTACTAATATCTTTGTTGCTAAAGATTATTCTCTTTATATATCAGATTTTGTGAACTGCCGTGTAATGAAATGGACAAAAAATGCAAAAGAAGGAATTATTGTTGCTGGTGGAAATGGTAAAGGAAATAGTCTCAAACAATTGTTTTGTCCTTATGGAGTGTTTGTTGATCATTCGGGTCAAATCTATGTGGCAGATCGTGAGAATCATCGAGTAATGCGTTGGTGTGAAGGAAAAGAAGAAGGTGAAATTGTTGTTGGAGGAAATGGTCAAGGAAATCAATCAAATCAATTGAATTCTCCCGCAGGTTTTTTATTTGATAATGAAGAAAATCTTTATATTGTTGATAAAAACAATCATCGAATCCAAAAATTTGAAAAAATTTTAAATTCAAGATATTTCTAATTTTGGTTGATAAAATTTTGATTTTGATTTTTGAAAATAAATAAAAAACATTAGTTTATGAAAAATCTTCAACAAAAATAAGTGTAAATAAACTAAAATGTTTCCCTTTATAAAATCAATAACTTTGTTTTTAATTTTTAGACAAAAAGTAAATAAATATTTATTGATTTTAACTTTAAATTAAAAAACCAAAAGAAACAAAATAATTCGAATAAAATTTATATTGAATGAATTAAATTAGAAGATTTTGAAAGAAAACTGAATTTGAAAGAATTTAATTTTTGTAGAAAAATCAAGTAAAATATTATCTAAACTGAAAAAAAAATTTAAATTAATAAAAAAACTTGTAAATAGAAATTTTATTAGATTTATTTTTTGTGATTTTATGATTTACTGAGAGAAAAGAAAGAGATAAATGAATAAGAATAAAATCTTTGTTAGTTAACAAAATAATTCACCGAATTCAATTAAAATAATAAAATATTGAAGAAAAGTTGAATGATTTTTCTATTTTATTGATAAATAAAAGAAAATAAAAAGAATCTCTGAATTATACGATTATTTAATAAATCGATAAATATTATTCATTTCAAAAAAATAATGAAATTAAATAAATAAATATTTAATTCAAATTAAATATTTAAAAACAGAATGTGTGGATATCAGTTGGAGATCGCACCTACACCCACTTTTCGCTCAAACGACACCATATCAGTTTTTCTAATTGATTTCCATAAAAGAGGATCTTTTGAAATACAACATTAACATATAAATTTATTAGTTCGTAATAAAGTTCATATTGAGAAACTGAAGAATCAGAAATAACAGGTACGATTAAGATCTATATTTATATAAATTTCGTTGTTATAATGTTTGTATTTGTAAATGTTTGTCAAGAATACAGTACACTCTCGGTCACAGCTAATGTCTTGTTGCTGATAATGACTATATTAATAGAGATCGAAAATCTCAGATATGTGTGGATAATTTCATTAAACTGATGGTAGGTGTGGGTGTGATTATATTCGTTTCTTCCTTATATGCACCCACACTCACACTTTTTTTAAAAATATATTTAAAAAATTTAATTTTCTCATTTTTATACATCGAAGATATACTTGAGAAATGATCAACTGAGTAAATACAATATTTATATATTATTTCTAAGCTGTCTTATCACATCTATATCGTTCGATTATAAATTTAAGTAAACTATTCACTAAAAACATGACAAACATCTAATATAATCTGTATCTTGAGAGTCTTACTTAAAACTATAGTTATTTCTTTTTATTATAATGTATTCTATACTCTTTAAAATATCAAATTTATTTTTTATCTTATAAAAAATCTTTCTTTCTTCTATAGAATACCTGTCTTTGAAGAAGATAAATAGAGTTCATATTATGTAAAATGATCAATTTTATGAAAATCATTCAAAAAAAATATTGCTGAATATGTGAGTATAAGAATTAGAATAAATCTACAATAAATATCATTGTGTTCGTATTATTCTCTCTTTAGGTTCGTTGAAAAAAAAACTGAAAAATATCTTGATTACTTCTTACCTTTTTCTGTAGTCGATGTATATGACGTTCTTCAATGATAAATAAATCTATATGATCGCTATTTTTTTTTTGTGTTAATTCAAATAGAGAAAATAAATGTAGAGTAAATGTAATAAAAATCTTATTTTAATGGAAACTTTCGATCTTTATCAACCAGGAACAGAACCAAAAATACAAATAATGAAGTTATAACTACATTTACTTCTTCTATTTAAAATTTCCATTAAATCTCATGTTTTCATTCATTTTTCATACACTATTATTATTTATACAGTAGATATTCTTATATGAGATATCAATCAGTATATAGGTTCATGGAATAAGTTATGATTTAACTCAACATCGACCTAGATTATTAAATTATTAATTTATTACTGGTGACAAAGAATTATCATTGTCAATGGTTTATGTTGTTATTGGCATTTTTTTT